AACAATGATCATGAGGATGGCACAGGACCGGGCAGTGTTTCATTCTGTTGGTCATATGATTGCTACCAGTCGGAACCGACTCAAAGGCACCTAACAACTATATATATATATATTTTTTGTTTGTTTGTTTTCTTCCCTCCCGTATCCCATTACTTAGAAATTATAAGATATAAACGCAGCTAGTGCATTTTTTCGTACTAGTTACTTGTATCATGTTCGGTGCAAGTATGACGTTTCAAACGTCTTTATTTAGAGATTATGTATGGTTAAAGGATATATGTACAGGTGACAAGTTGACAAGGGGTAGACTGTGATGGTTAATGTTATTTGTCAGCTTGGCTAGGCCATGATTCTCAGTATTATGTAATTATCTTCCACTTTGTGATCCGATGTAAGGGGAGTTTCCTTGGGGTTGGGGGCCTGCATGCAATATATACGGATGTTCTGGCAAAGCTCTCTCGATTCTGCATCCAACCTGACATCATCTGACCTCCAGTTCTTGGGATGTGAGACAGCAGCCTACTGCCTGACCTACACATTTTGGAATTCACCACTCCCGCAGCTCCATGAATGAGCAGGCTGCTCTTTGACCTGCTAATTGTGGGTTTGTCAGCCTCTGCAACCAGGTGAGTCAGGAGTAGCCCGAAGCCTGATGCCTGATCCATGGGTTTGGGACTTGCCAGCCTCCACAACTGCATGAGTCATTTCCTTGAAATAAATCTATTTGTATATACATACTTCACTGGTTTTTCTCCTCTAGAAAACCCAGCCTAACACATACACATACACATTTTTTTTTCTGAACTGTTTTAGTTGCTGATACACCAAAAAAAAAAAAAAAAATCAAACCGTTGCTGTCAAGTAGATTCCGACTCATAGCGACCCTATAGGACAGAGTAGAACTGCCCCATAAAGTTTCCGAGGAGCAGCTGGTGGATTTGAAGTGCTGATCTTCTGGTTAGCAGCCGTAGCTCTTAATCACTACGCCACCAGGGTTTCCCGTTGCTGATATGAAGCCCCTTTATGCCTAAAAAGTTTCATGTGTATAGCTGATATTCTCTTACATGAGCATAGTACAAATATTAAAATCAAGAAATTACCAGATTTAATTCTATTACTCAGTCTACAGACATTATTAAAATTTTGCCAGTTGTCTCAATATGTCCTTTATAGCTAAAAAAAAAAAAGTTTTATTTCCTTGTCCAGGGTCTAATCTAGGATCCCTTGTTGCATTTAGTTGTCATGTTTCTTTAGTCTCCTTTAATCTCTAACAGTTCTTCAGTTTTCTTGCTTTCATGATCTTATCATTTTTTAAGAATATAGACCATTCATTTTTCACAATGTCCCTCAATTTGGATTTGTCTGATGTTTCCTCATGATTAGATTCAGGTTACACATTTCCAGCAGGACCCACATGAGTGTGTGTCCTTTTCAGTGCATTACAGCACGAGGCACATGATGTTGATTTGTGCCACTAATGGTGATGCTAACTGATCACTTAGTTAAGGCGGTGTCTGCCAGTTTTCTCTATTGCATGGTTACAGTTTTTCTCTTTGTGGGAGTTATCTTACATATTTTGAGACCATATAAATACTACCCTGCTTCTTATCAAACTTTCACCTACTAGTTGTAGCATCCATTGATGATTCTTGACTGAAACAATTATACTATGGCAGCTGCCAGATAGTGGTTTTCTAAATCTAGCATTCGTTTCATATTAGCTATCATTCTACTGTAAGGAAGAATTTTCTCTCTTACCATTTATTTATTCATTTATTACTTATATCTGTATGGGTTCATGATTTCTTATTTTATTCTATGGTTATAATTTGTTACTATATTTATTTATTTTATGCTCAAATTGTCCCAGGTTGGCCAGTGGGCTCCTCTCTAAATCTGGCTGTGTCCTTTAAACATATTTCCCCATCATTCTTTGAGTACGTCCCTACTTTCTGGCAGAGCAAGATGTTTCAGGCTTGTCTTGTACTTTCTCTGCCACAGTCTGGGGATCAGCCATTTCCTAAGAAGTCTGATTTCTCTTTGTAGTGAATAGTATTTAGAAAACAAGATCCGGGTGCTAGTTACTCTCACTGCTACTAGGCTGTCACTGCCTCCAGGCCCTTTCAAAAGACAGAGCTAGGAAATATACATGTATGTGTGTGCATTTATTTATTTCTACATTTATAAATGTTAGTATATTTCCATTTCTATATTTATATCAACCTATACATATATAAAACACGAGTTCATACTGATGCCTTCAATTTCAATCCAAAACCATAGAAAAGACCATAAGTTTTAATTACCATCTTGAAACTGTGCCAAAGCTCACAGGCTTGAAGTCTTTAAATTCCTCATGTTGTAGAACAGGAGCTAGAAGATACCCCAGAACTGCGTAATGCCAGTCATCTATCAATCCACTTACTAATTCAGAAATTTTATTGGACAATTTTACTGTGCTAGACGCTGGGCTAGGAATATGAAAATTCCACAGCAGTTCAATTAGGGAAGACAGAGGAACAAAATAACAATTATCATGAAGTATAATAAGTTCCATATTACAGGAATGTACAGTGTTCTACCAGAACAGAGAGGAGGGATACCCAGCCCAACCTGAGTAAACTGGATTATTTCAGAGAAGGAAACAAAATTAGGCTGGTCATATTAGTCATTGGAAGACTGTACTCTGCTTCTGAGCAAAAGAATGTTTTGTGGAGAGCTCTGGTTTATTTTGAAGAGTTCTCTGCATTGAAGAATTCAACAGAAAACGGCTCAGCCATGATAATACCTATGCAAATAAGTTCTCAGCGAATCAACACTAGCTTGTGGGAAGGTTAGCTTTCACTCTTTCTACTAGAGTCCTCCCAATGACCATAAAGGAAGAGAAAAATTTCAGATGCAGTCAAACTGCCAATTATCTCATTTTTTTCCTTTTCTCTTCCTCTTGAAGTACAAACTAACTAAACTGGCTTATTTGTCATTGTATTGATTGCTACTCCGTTGAGTAATACTTTATACACACTGATTTTCTCTTATCTAAACTTAGAGAGCATTTGAGGGGAAGGTGTGTGCGTCTGTGTGTGTGTATGTAAGAGAAACAGAGATGTATGTGGGATATAAGAAAAAAAATTCAGGGTAGAAAAGTATTAGGTAAAAATATGATAAAGGGAATTTATTACTTTTGTTGTGCTATACCTATAGTTTTTTTTTTTTAAATATTGATTTACTTTTATAGTTTTCTACACAGTGGACATTTACCTAAAGTGTTCTTATCAAAATTTTGCCACTAACTTTTTTTTTTAAAATAAATGGGATCTATCTCCTGGTCTGTGATCCCTTGCCCGGTTTCCCTAGTACTGAGTCTGGTCACTCTAATATTATTTAATTCATCAATGCAGAAAAGCCCAGTTGAGAGAGTGAGATATGTAAGTGAAGATCATCAGTAGTGGGAGGCTGATCTGCACAAGATTTCTCATCATGGGACCGAACTGCTGGGCAGAGGGCTGTGGGGACCATGGTCTTGGGGAACATCTAGCTCAACTGGCATAACATACTTTACAAAGAAAATGTTCTACATTCTACTTTGGTGAGTAGCATTTCGGGTCTTAAAAGCCTGTAAGCAGCCATCTAAGACACTCCACTGGTCTCACCCCTTGGGAGCAATGGAGAATGAAGAAAGAAAGATACAACGGTAAGATCAGTCAAAAGGACTAATAGACCACAACTACCATGGCCTCCACCAGACTGAGTCCAGTACAGCTAGATGGTGCCTGGCTACCACCACTGACTGCTCTGACAGGGATTACAACAGAGGGTCCTGGACAGAGCTGGAGAAAAATGTAGAACAAAATTCTATCTCACAAAAAAAGACCAGACTTACTGGCCTGACAGAGACTGGAAAAACCCCGAGTATGGCCCCCGAACAGCCTTTCGGCTGAGTAATGAAGTCACTCCCGAGGTTCACTGTTCAGCCAAAGATTAGACAGCCCCATAAAACAAAACGAGACTAATGGAGCACAACAGTCCAGGGGCAAGGACTAGAAGGCAGGAGGGGACAGGAAAGCTGGTAATAGGGAACCCAAGGTTGAGAAGGGAGTGTTGACATGTCGTGGGGTTGTTAACCAATGTCATAAAACCATATGTGTACTGTTTAATGAGGAACTAGTTTGTTCTGTAAACTGTCATAGAAACTCCCCGCCCCCCCCAAAAAAAAGATATCTCATCTTTCCCTCACCTATAAAATGGTTCCTTTGTACAGCTGGTGCCACAGAAAAAGGGAAAACTGAGACATGTACATACTCATTTTTCCCTCACTCTAGGAGCAGAATCAAACATGACTGAAACATTTATTTACTCATTAGGTGGCTTTAGATTCTAGAAGACACATACCCTATAGAATCATTTTAGCCATGAAATACTCATGATAAATAAAAAACTTCGAATGTAAATAAGAACACTGAGTCTTTCCTGACACTTTTGTTTAACATTATTTCAGGTGACCCTAAAGCTGAGGCAAGGGTGGCTTGGGCTCATTTGGGAGGAGAAGAATGTGGGTCACTGCACCTGTGGACCAAAGCAAAGGGCCAGGCTTGTGTCAAAGGTTTACCTGGGGACAGCAACATCACCATCTCCAGAAAGCATGGGTCATATACGCTGGCTTTTGCCAGAACAGTAAGAAAAGTGAGTCACCAGGTGGGAGCTTTAACATATGTAATGATTAGTAAGCTTCTTCTAGTGAAAATTTTTAATTACTTCATTAAACACTGTATTCAATTTAAAGGCTTTAACCATCCATAATCACCATGAAACAATATGTGTGTATATTAAAAAATATCCATTGAACATATTTTAAAAGGTATACAATTGTGTTTTGAAAACTATGCAACATTAAATATAAGTGGATATAAAAAACCAACGAATCAGAAGCATGGAAAACAATATGTTTTAATAAGAACCTATTGTAGGTTCTGGAATAACTGTAGCATGCATGTCTCTCGTCATGTTGGACTTCTCCTTCAGTTTTGACTGCAGTAATGTGTGTTCCACAACGCCGATTCTAATATCCATCTGAACAGTCTCTTGCTTCAGTTTTGTTAAGCTCTGTTTAATCTTCACCAAAGGCGCTGCAGAATGAAAACCGCATGGAATAAAAATGTTCTTTTGGGGTATCAGTCATTACAGAATTGTATGGCATTTTCCTCACTTAGTCCTAAGCCAAAAATAGGGTTAAAAACACAGCCAACAACTTCTGACATTCACAGAGTTTTGCTGTGGCATTTTAAACACCTGAGATTTGTAGGATGGGAACTGATGCAGCATTTGATGTATGGAGGCTGAACTTTCTTCCTTTTCTAGGGGAAGAGTTGCTAAAGGGTGTTTAAAGATGTCTTCAATATGATTTTACGGGCTAGCATATTTGTCTGTAGGAAAAGGGGATACAAAGGGCGAAAAGGGGGAGGGAGAATTACCTTTGATATCTAGATAATGGGCTCATTCAAAAAAATGTTGCCAAAAAACCCCTATACACCCCCTTTGAATGATCACTTAATATATACCATTAGAACTGTAAAAATCTTTGTAGGGCATAGAACAGTCTTAGAGAATTACCACCGGGCCATGTCACAGTAATCAGCTCAGGATGGAGGATGATGACAGGAGGATTATTAATTCTTCTCTACCTGACCCTGCCTTGTCAGGTCATGACATCACTGCCTCAGTGCCATTTGGGCGTATACTTAGTGACCTCTTGTACAGAAAATGGAAAAATAAAGCTCATTTCACAAAAACAAAATAAAACACTATTTTTTAAATTGGCACAATAAAGTGTATCTTTAAATATTTACCATTCTGTCTCTGAATCAATAAAATTTGAAACAAAAAACCCCAAATGATAGTTAAAAAACAAAAAACAAAAAACTATGCTTCTCACTCCCAGTTGCTTTTTAAGGAAAACAGTATACTGATTATAGGACATCATTTCTGCACCAAGTACCTCACCTCAAACAAATAGCTCATTTAAAAAAGCGAACTCCCTACTTATTAATGCTACTTTATCCAACAGACTTTTGTAAACAGTTACTCTTCTCTTGCTCACTTCTTCTCCTTAAATGAGTGCACTCACCACCATCGGTCATGCTGCTGCCTTTCTCTTCCATTTCTTGTTTTACCTTTTCTAATTCTTCTGTAACCTTTCCTCGAAAAAAACAAAGTTTTCATAAGCATTGAATCCTAACTTTCAAAAATTCTGAATAATATATTCAGAAAAATTAATTTAGATATTAAACACATATAAAGGGGTATGAGGACATTAGGGATATTCTTCACATAATTTGAATAATGAGATAAAGCATGCATATATCCAAAGCTTTTCATCTTCTGAGAATGCTCCTCATGTTAAACTTCACCAAATTGCTTTCTTGTTGGTTTTCTGAGGTTGTAACATGACAGTTTAAAAATGATTAAAGTTGTTGTTTTAGCACTAGGCACTTAAGCCTTCCAATTAAGCCTTCCAATTATCTCACAGAATCTACCATCCCATTCTCTAAGATTCAGTTATTAATTAAAAGAGTATACACATCCTAAAGAGATTTTGGGTTTCTAAAGGTTCACTAGTATCTTTCTTAATATTATAGTTTTATAAGAGAATATGTCACCTTTCCCTCTACAGGACACTAAAAAAATGCTTATACCATATGGCAATACATAAAAATGTTCTACTGCTCAATTCAAACCGTGAACTCCAAAAAGCATACAATGCTGTTATATTGGTTCTTATCCATACTCTACATAGAGATTATACCACTATGTTGTTGTTGTTAGGTGCCATTGAGTTGGTTCCGACTCATAGCAACCGTATGTACAACAGAACAAAACACTGCCCAGTCCTGTGCCATCCTCACAATCATTGCTATCTTTGAGCCCATTGTATCAATCCATCTTGTTGAGGATCTTCCTCTTTTTTGCTGGCCCTCTACTTTACCAAGCATGATGTCCTTCTCCAGGGACTGCTCCCTCCTGATAACATGTCCGAAGTATGTGAGATGAAATCTCACCATCCTTGCTTCTAAGGAGCATTCGGGCTGTACTTCTTCCAAGATAAGATTTGTTCATTCTTCTAGCAGTTCTTCTGGCAATTCAACATTCTTCACCAGCACCATAATTCAAAGGCATCAAATTCTTCTTGGGTCTTCCTTACTCATTGTCCAGCTTTCACATGCATAAAAGGCGACTGAAAATACCATGGTTTCTGTCAGGTGAAACTTAGTCCTCAAAGCGACATCTTTGCTTTTTAACACTTTAAAGAGGTCTTTTGCAGCAGATTTGCCCTATACAATGCATTGTTTGATTTCTTGACTGCTGCTTCCATGAGGGTTGACTGTGGATCCAAGTAAAGTGAAATCCTTGACAACTTTAGTCTTTTCTCCATCTATCATGATGTTGCTTACTGGTCCAGTTGTGAGGGTTTTTGTTGTCTTTATGTTGAGATGTAATCCATACTGAAGGTGTAGTCTTCGATCTTCATCAGTAAGTACTCTATTATTAGCCTCTATTATTAGCAAAATTCAAAATTAGCATTTAATATGGATGAAAACTACAATCTTTAAAAACTGCAACTTTTGATAATGATCTAAAACTAAGCCATAATTATTGTAACTTAGGTTTTATTTTTATCATACTGGTGAGTGAAATCTTCCCTGGGAATAAAGTGCTTGTCTAAGTAAAGCAAATTAACTTTTTTCCGGCACGTGAAACTTTACAACTAGGGATAACTACCTACTTTAAAAGAACAAAATAGTTCCCTGGACTCCCTTAAGTGTTAATTTACCTAACATAAGTCAGCACTTTACTTGCACATAATGTTTTATTTGCCTAGGAGCACCACAGGATTAGATTCTAAATATTTCTAATGTTTTAAGTATTTTAAAATAACTATTTATTCCTCATATAATCTCTATAAAATAAGCTTAATTCTATTCTAGTAAAGTTTGTGACAATTATACTGGGTCATAAGTAAAGATAACCTTGAGTTTCAGTCTCAAATTGGCTACTGACCTTGTTGCAAGGTTCTCCCCCTCAGCTGCTTAGTGAAAATGGAAATATATATCAGTCCTTACCTCTCTTGCAAGATCATGAAAACAAATGTAACAATATGTGCCATTATTCTAGAAATTTCTCAGAAGGAAGGGGTTATAAGTCATTCCCAATTTGTGGACAGAACAATACCTTGATCACATAAGCTAGCAACAGAAATTACTAGAAACAAATCTTATACCATGCACACTATCATTAAAATTTGTTATAGACTCCTAAGACAGTGCTTTACTTACACATGTATATATTAATTGTAATTACTATATAAAAAAATCAAGATTAAGGAAGGCTGGAAATTTGTTAATATTATGAATAGGTTTTATGTTGAATATAAGTAATACAACAACTTCAAACATTTTATGGAAATAGGTAGTGTATAAATACGTAACTGATTCACTGATAAGAAAATCAGGATTTTTCTCCTAAGGAAAATATTTTAAGGCACACAGGAAGCAATTACTGAAGTAAACAACCCACAGATGTAAGGGTCTCTGGGCCCAACTGATGGGGTTAAGTACAGAGAGAGCACAGTGTGTACCTCAGACAGGAGCCTGGTCCTTTCAGTCACTCCACCGTTCCCCTGCTGGTATCGCTCCCTTGCCTGAGGGGGAACACATTTTGTTTAATGACAAATTCAAAATAGAAGCAGAAGATTACTTAAAGATGACATCTTTGTGTCTACAATTTCTGTATATTATTTTATGACAACCCCTTCCTTGTTTGTGAATACATTTACGAAAGTGACATTTAGCTGGAGCTATTTTCTGTCCCTCATAGGCACTGTGTACTTAACTAAAGCACTATAAAATGTGGAACTGCCTTAGCCTTCACATACTGTGTACCTCCAACAGGCATAGTTTACAATAAAAACCATCCTCAGTCATTCCAAAACAGTTCAGGAGAGCAGCTCTAGGTCAATGTAATTTGAATACTATGCAGAGAAAACCAGTCCTAAAAATCAATCAAAACAGAGCACCAGGCTCAGCAATTAATCAAGATTAACAAACATTATGACAGTACAGCCAACTGGAATCCTATATTCTTGGGAACTAATCTAACAATCAATTATTTAATAGTAATGCTTGACAGATACATGGTAACTTTAATTGGAGAATTTTACAGCATTTTTAAAGTAAATATATCCATGAATAGATGTGTGTATAAGGGAATAATTAATTAAATAAATAACATCCTAAAAAAAGTAAAGACTACTTTCTATTTGGTCTTTAACTGAGGCCTTCTGAAAGTACAAAAGCATCTCAAATATATTTCCATTTTTTCCCTCTTCTCCTCACCTCTCTGCTGGAAGAAAGAACATGTCTTCAACTGATGTTTGTGAGTGTTCTCACCAGCCTGCCTCAACCTCAGAATCAGGGGCTTAAACCCAGAGGAAAGCCTTCAGATCCTTACTGCTAGCACCAGTAACTGCTGCTTTCAAATGCTGATTTTAGGCTTTATGTTGGGCGGGGTGGGTGGGGAATGATTAAAATTGTAAAACTTTGGAAGGATTACATTTGTTTTCTCATTTAATTAATTAAAATGCTTGTCTCTGAACAAGTCTTGCTTTCTTACTCTTTCTTATGTGGCTGTGAGCCATACTGCGGGACTGGCTTTTCCCTCTGCCACATGTAACTGCACACTCTCCCTCTTCGTCCTCATACAGTGAATTAGCAGGAGAGCTGGAAACAAAACCAGGTAACCTGACACTGTTACTGTTCTAAGCCATGTTCACCAACAATATAGGCCTTCATTCACTTACGTTTTTATGAAATGCTTTTAAAAAAGGCTTCTGAGAGATAACTTCTATTATATGTAATTGGAGATGGCAAGTTCTATTGCCCCACCTAGCTTCCTACAGTGGGCAGACAATGTGTTGCTGTTTGATCATTTCATGGTTCTCAAATATAAGGTGCTATGTCAAATCTAGGGATTGGGGTTATTACAAATTAGAATAAATCCCTGGAGATCATTCTTAAATTACCTCACTCAGCTGGGCTTGAGCTGCACGATATTCTTGAACCAAGTGCTCAAGTTGATTGTTGATGTACTTCTCTCGGCTGCCAATTTTTTCCAGAGTTCTGCTAATTTCATTGTGGAGTTTGTCCAAAAATCCCTAAAAATTCCATGGGATTTTAGTAGATAAAAGAATACACAAAAACATTTTTCAAAAATATACTTAAAAATGGTTTAAATCTCCTCCAATTCCTCCCATAAATGCTCAATCACATGTGAAAAAGTAGGTAATTTGAAATTTTCAAAGGCAAAAAATATCTGTAATGAGAAATATTTCAGACTTTGTGAATATTCAAATAAAAAAGCATCTGGCAGTGTTAGTCAATTCATTTGTCCTTATGCATATCTAAAATGCATCTGAGAAGAATCTGGTTTTTTTGATTGTTCACCATCAAAGTAGGTAAGGGAAAAACAGGACCTTCCTGCAGCACAATTCAAAGATGCCAGCTGGAAGCAGAAGCCTAGACCTCTACCTCTAACCTGGGATCCATGGCCCCTCACTCCAGCTCTGCTTCTTTGTGGTGTCCTCTAACAGTACCTGTTTCTGACAGGATAGTGGTTTTGGAAAGCTGTAGGCTCCAGGCATTGCTGGCCTGGTGCTCTATCATCCTTGGAATTCAGAGAGGAAAGAGTAAGAAATATTTCCTTTATATCAAGTTGGCTTTCTTTAGTTGGTTTAAATGTTAGTTAGGGCTGTTGAAATAGTAGTATGATACATTCAGTTAGTAAGGTCCTCAAAGCGAGTATTGTGTCTTTGTATCTCCTTTTTTCTTTCATGTTCTCCCGTAACAGGTTCACCATAGATGAGTAAACGTATATTGATTCCTCTAAAGTAATTCACATACCTTGGTCTCCTTTAGAGCAGATTCAATTCCACTTTTGTGCTGGTGCATTTGGTCAACGTGGACTCTCCAATCCTACAGGAATAAACACACAGGAAAAAAGTAAAAAAAATAGTATACTTCCTTCTTTCCTCTACCTGCTATAGAATTGTGTCCTTTATTTTAATTACTTCTGTTGCTGCCCTATTTCAGGTGGGAGATTACTATATATAGCTTGCAATCAGATTATCAAGAAGCATGTGTAGAGCACTTTACGATAAAAGGTTCTAAATAAATGTAAATTATTTTATGTGTTCACAGAATGATGTCTGACAATTTGAATATAAATTATTCCTGCACTGCTGGTGGTTAATATTTATGACTAACCATTAAAATAAAAAAAATTCTAATTACTAGAAAAGAAATACTTGTCTAAACAGTAACAGAAGCAACTCTGGACTCAAATACATATCAAAGATTATTTTGTTCCTTGGAAATTAAAATGGGGCTCTCTTCTTCAGTAAGGTTTTTGAGCCTCTTTCTTAATAAAGGAAGTCTATAACCATTATTAGAATTCATACATTTTGAGGTATTGTGAACTTCTACTAGACTTATTTGAATTAGTGTGCACATTTGAAATCTATACCAACTTTTTAAATTCCTGGAAGATATCTTCAAAATATTTTAGTTTGCATTGCTACAGGCAACAATTTTATAAGACTTGAGAAAAACCCACCATAGGAGGAAAACGATGTTAAGTTTGAGTCAGTGTTGCAACCAGGCTACTCCTCGATCACACGTATCGTTTGCACACCCTGATGGTTCACTTTGCTATCTACACTATTTTGTGAAGAAAAAAGACTTTTATGAATAGTCCAGTTCAACCTATTTCTTTTTTTTTTTTAACTGTACTTTAGATGAAGGTTTACAGAGCAAATTAGTTTCTCATTAAACAATTAATAAACATATAGCTTTATGACATTGGTTGCCAAGCCCATGACATGTCAGCACTCTCCCCTTTCTCGACCTTGGGTTCCCTATTACCAGCTTTCCTGTCCCCTCCTGCCTTCACGTCCTTACCCCTGGGATGGTGTGCCCATTTAGTCTCATTTTGTTTTATGGGCCTGTCTAATCTTTGGCTGAAGGGTGAATCTCAGGAGTGACTTCAGTACTGAGTTAAAAGGGTGTCCGGGGGCCTTACTCTCGGGGTTCAGCCTATTTCTTAACTTTGAAACAGGGACTAGTGACTATAGGTTAAAAAAAAAAATCATTGGGTACTTCAAACACATCAATTATACAATTATATTAAAACTGCAAAGAATCTCTAAGAGTATCTAGTCCCGCCCCTACTATTTCCAGATAAGCTAACATAGAAGCCCAGAGATAGAAAGAAATATAACCAAGGCCACATGGTCTGCGGTACACCAGGATCAGAAGTCAAATGTATTCATTCGCATACATTCTGGCAGTTCAGAGTTAATAAAAGAGGCAACAGGCTACTAGATATCAATGATGGTGCTGGAGCAGAGGACAAATGAGCACGTTCTTTTATTCCTTATGCATTTTTTTCTCATGAGCAAAATATATCGCAGAATATGAGAGCTGGAAAGGGCCTTAGAGATCATTTACTCATCCATTTAACAACCATGTAGTGCAAAGTTTTCATTTTACAGTTGATGGGACTATTCACCACCCATGAAGTGTGGTGGCTACGATTAGACAGATTTGGGAAGGGAACGAGGCCCCTCCAGCGCAGCCAGTTGCACTGCAGCAGGGAGGAAGAGCAACTGGCTGGCCTTTGCCACTGGACCAAATATGGCTAAGCCTCAAAACAGAAACCTGTTTAAGCCCAAGTAAGCACCTTTATGAAAGAAAATGAACTGAACAAGTATTATCATCATCTTTTTTTAAAGTACTAAGCCTGCCTGATGGCACAGTGGTTAAGAGCTCGACTGCTAACCAAAATGTCGGCAGTTTGAATCCACCAGTTGCTCCTTGGAAACCCTATGGGGCAGTTCTACTCTGTCCCACAGGGTGGTTGGGAGTCAAAATCAACTCCACGGCAATGGGTTAATCCTGCCTACTTCCAAAAAGAATTTCAGCAGGCTTACTAAACACCAGGCTTAATTGTCTTAGCCATCCAGTGCTGCTACAACAGAAATACCACAAGTGGATGGCTTTAACAAAGAGAAATTTATTTCTTTACAGTAAAGTAAGCTAAAAGTCCAAATTTAGAGCATCAGCTCCAGGGGAAGGCTTTCTCTCTCTGTTGGCCTTCTTCTCATCAGTGTTCCCCCCGACTAGGAGCGTCTCCATGCAGGGACCTCAGGTCCAAAGGATGTGCTCTGCTCCTGGCACTGCTTTCTTGGTGGTATGAGGTCCCCCTCGTCTCTCTGCTCACTTCTATCTTTTATATCTCAAGAGATTGCTTCAGGACACAATTCAATCTTGTAGACTGAGTCCTGCCTCACTAACACAACTGCTGCCCATCGTCCCTTGTTAACATCATAGAGGCAGGATTTACAGCATATAGGAAAATCACACAATACTGGGAATCATGGTCCAGCCAAACTGATACACACATTTTTTGGGGGACATAATTCAATCCATGACATTCCACCCTTTGCCCCTCCCAAAATCATATCCTCACAACATGCAAAACATATTCATCCCATTATATCATAGCAAAAGTCTTAACTCTAAGTCCGAAATCCAAAAATTCCTCTTCATCTGTGAAATCTAGAATACAAGTTATCTGCTTCCAAAGGTACAATGGCAGAACAGGCATAAGCTAGACATTTCCATTACAAATGGGAGAAACTGGAAGGAAAGAAGGGATAACAGGCACCAAGCAAGTCAGCAGAACACATTACATTAGCCCTCAAGCCTTTGAAAATAATCTTCTGTCCTCTGAGACAATTTCCACAATGGCCCTGCCCTCCAGACTCTAGGTATTGGCCACAGTCTCTGGATTCTGAGTGGAGGCCCCCTGGCCCCGGGCTTTAGCTCAGCCTTCCAGGCCCACTGGGACGGACAGCAACTCTGCTCCTTTGGGTTTAGGCGCACCATTCTCCTAGTCCGAGTGGCAACTCCACCCTTAGAAACACCAGAGGCCATGGCTCCACCCTTAGAAACCCCAGAGGTCATGGCCATACCTTTTGAGACTGAGGCAGCTCAGTTTCTTGTGTCCCTTGTCTCTTCAGCTTCTGCTTCTGTTTCCTATGGCCTCTTGGCCCTCGGGCCTCACACCTTGCTGGGGCAAGTATTCCAAAACTCGGTAGCTCCACCAATAAGTGCCCGGAGGTACCCCACTCCACCAGACAGCCTTGTGCACACAGGCACTCGGCTCTCTTGCTCCGTAGGTCAGCAAGCCTAGCTCCACTGATAAGTACCTGGAGGCACCCCACTCTGCCAGGAAGCCTCCTGCGCACAGGCACTCAGCTCTCTGACTCCGTGGGATGGCTCCAGCATTGTCTTGCACTGTCTCCTGGTTCTGCTGCTGTTGGTTCTCTGCCACTGCCGCTCCTCTGCCACTGCAGGTTCTCTGCCATTACCGCTTCTCTGCTATTGCAGGTTCTCTGCTGCTGCTGGTCCTCTGCTGCTGCCACTGCTCTATCCGTTCACAGTTTCAAAACCACTTCCACATTTTAGGTAATTTGAGCAGCACCTCACTCTCGGTACCAAATGTCTTAGGCTGGGTTCTCTAGAGAAGTAAAACCAGTAAAGCATATAAATATATATACACAGAGATTTATATCAAGGAAACAGCTCACGCAGTTGTAGAGGTTAAAATGTCCCAAGTCCATGGATCAGGGTAGAGGCCTCTCCCAATTCACGGAGCTGCAAAAGCTGGTGAAACCAAGGTTGGCAGGCCGGAGAGGGGCTTCCACTCACATGCTGTGAAGGTCAACGAATTCCAAGATCAGCAAACAAGACCGCAAGGTTTCTCCAGATTCACGTAGCTGCAGGGGCTGGTGAACCCAAGATCAGCAAGTTGGGGAACTGGCCTCTTGCTGTCAGGTTGAGAAGATCGACGAATTCCAAGATCAACAGGTAAGCTGTTAGCGCAAGTCCCAAGAACCGGAGGTGAGACAACAAGAGGCAGCTGCTGACTCTGTAACAAGCCAAAAACCTTGGCAAGGTGAGCAGGCAGAAAGTAACCGGCGGAAGGCAGAGAGATGAAAATGAGTGGGTGGAGAGCTGTCACAGGCCCCGCCTCCGCCAGTACCACACAGCAGATTCCATCATGGGGGTGATCACATATTAAATTTCAATGGGGAAGTGATCACAACACTATGTAACTGCTAAAACACTGAGAATAATGGCCTAGCCAAGTTGACATACAATCTTAACCATCACAGGTATTTAAATGTCTTCCCTCTCTTTCACACACACACATATATATACACACACCACACACACACATTTATTTAGTTATTTGTTTACTGACTGATTGTGATTGATATGTTTAAAATAGTTTGTGTTCAGCTTTCTACCACCCAGTACTACTATGAACATATTTTTTTATGTATTGACATTCAAAATATTTCTCTCTTTGAGAGAAGCAACTAAGCCTGACTCATATATGTGAAAACTACAATAACTTACACTGATGTAAAACTCCATGGAGGAGCTGGCATTTCTGTGGAACTTTAAGCACGAGTAGCATGTTGACAGGCTGGAAAGGAGAGGAGAGGAAGGGTATTTCAGGCTGAGGGAGCAGCATTAGGAAAAACAGGAAAACACACAGGGTAGGCTGTCTGTCCAGGGCATAAAATGCCAAGTTCTGGAGATGGGCTGGGGAGGATATGGATCATGAGGAGACCAGGCTAGAAAGGTAGGTGGAATTAGATCAAGGGTTTCAACTGTAACACTGAGGAATGTGGATTTTATCATGTGGATAATGAGAAGCTTTCAAGGATTCTGGTTTCTATTTTAAAGCTAAGTCTGTGTTTTCAGACAGTAACAAAGTGAAAGACTGATTAGAAAGGTAAGAGACTGAAGGCAGGTAGGAAAGCAGCTGGGAGGCTGTGCAATGGTCCACGTGACAGACTAACAGGGTTTGAATCAGAGCAGTGTTTGTAAGAAGGGAAGGG